AGGGAGATTGTTGGTTTTGATCACAGTGTTGATTCACACATAACCTGTCTTTAGATTAGGGAGATTGTTGGTTTTGATCACAGTGTTGATTCACACATAACCTGTCTTTAGATTAGGGAGATTGTTGGTTTTGATCACAGTGTTGATTCACACATAACCTGTCTTTAGATTAGGGAGATTGTTGGTTTTGATCACAGTGTTGATTCACACATAACCTGTCTTTAGATTAGGGAGATTGTTGGTTTTGATCACAGTGTTGATTCACACATAACCTGTCTTTAGATTAGGGAGATTGTTGGTTTTGATCACAGTGTTGATTCACACATAACCTGTCTTTAGATTAGGGAGATTGTTGGTTTTGATCACAGTGTTGATTCACACATAACCTGTCTTTAGATTAGGGAGATTGTTGGTTTTGATCACAGTGTTGATTCACACATAACCTGTCTTTAGATTAGGGAGATTGTTGGTTTTGATCACAGTGTTGATTCACACATAACCTGTCTTTAGATTAGGGAGATTGTTGGTTTTGATCACAGTGTTGATTCACACATAACCTGTCTTTAGATTAGGGAGATTGTTGGTTTTGATCACAGTGTTGATTCACACATAACCTGTCTTTAGATTAGGGAGATTGTTGGTTTTGATCACAGTGTTGATTCACACATAACCTGTCTTTAGATTAGGGAGATTGTTGGTTTTGATCACAGTGTTGATTCACACATAACCTGTCTTTAGATTAGGGAGATTGTTGGTTTTGATCACAGTGTTGATTCACACATAACCTGTCTTTAGATTAGGGAGATTGTTGGTTTTGATCACAGTGTTGATTCACACATAACCTGTCTTTAGATTAGGGAGATTGTTGGTTTTGATCACAGTGTTGATTCACACATAACCTGTCTTTAGATTAGGGATATTTTTTTCCGGCGTAAAAGACGAATTTTTAACCCATGAATTTTTTTTTTTTAAAGTCGTGGGGTCATCTTATAGGCCAGGGGTCATCTTATACGCCGTGGGTCTTCTTATACGCCGGAGGTCGTCTTATATGACGGAGATAGTCTTATACGCCGGGGGTCATCTTATTCGCCGGAAGTCATCTGATACGCGGTGTTCATCTTACACGCCGGAGGTCGTCTTATACGACGGAGATCGTCTTATACGCTGGGGGTCATCTTATACGCCGGAAGTCATCTGATACGCGGGGGTCATCTTATACGCCGGAGGTCATCTTATACGCCGAGGATCGCCTTATACGCCGGGGGTCATCTTATAGGGCAGGGGTCATCTTCTTTCCGGGGGTCACCTTATACGCCGGGGGTCGTCTTATACGCCGGAGGTCGTCTAATATGCCGGGGATCATCTTATACGCCCGGGGTCATCTTATACGCCGGGGGTCATCTTATACGCCGGGGTTCATCTTTTATGCTGGGGGTCATCTTATACGTCGTGGGTCATCTTATACTCCAGAGGTCATCTTATACGCGGGGGTCACATTATACGCTGGGGGTCATCTTATAGGCTGGGGGTAACCTTATACGCCGGACGTCGTCTTATACTCCGGACGTCGTCTTATACGCTTGGGGTCAACTTATACGTCGTGGGTCATCTTATACGCCGGGGGCTCATCTTATAGGCTGGGGGTCACCTTATACGCCGGGGGTCATCTTATACGCGGGAGGTCGTCTTATACACCGGAGGTCCTCTTTTACGCCCAGGTCATCTTATACGCCGGGGTCGTCTTATACGCCGGGGTTCGCCTTATACGCCGGGGTTCATCTTTTAGGTCGTGGGTCATCTTGTAGGTGTGGGGTTGACTTCTACCCGTGGGTCTTCTTATGCGCCGGGGCTCATCTTATAGGGCAGGGGTCATCTTCTTTCCGGGGGTCACCTTATACGCCCTGGGTCGTCTTATACGCCGGAGGTCGTCTTATACGCCGGGGCACATCTTATACGCTGGTAGTGTTGAAACTTCAGGGACAGGCGCCCTCTAGTTTCAGTTTGGTCGACAGCTTAGAAAACTGTAACACGCACATGTACTGACATCATTATCATTGTAAGTTATTTCTTAGGCTGTGGGTTATGTCAGTAGCATGGTTACTTGTTTTAAGTTAGTAATTCAGAATGCCGGCTAAGACTTCATCGTTCTTCCTCGTATTATCCAGGCACGTAAATAAGAATACTGAATCCTGGTTAAACTGACAGTACTTTATTAAATCACAGTTTACACAGATAATATTAATAATAATCCTGCATGAATGTAATCATTTCACATATATATATATANCATCGTTCTTCCTCGTATTATCCAGGCACGTAAATAAGAATACTGAATCCTGGTTAAACTGACAGTACTTTATTAAATCACAGTTTACACAGATAATATTAATAATAATCCTGCATGAATGTAATCATTTCACATATATATATATATAATATTCCATCACTCAGAAAGACACGTCCTCACACTGCTATAACTCAGCTCAACTGTACTACATCTCAACTCTAACTCAACTCCGACTAACTCTGACTCTCCTTGCGCTCAGCTCTCCTTATCTCAGTCAACTCATACTTTATTACCAGCAAAGCGTGCAAAACAACCGCTCTGACAAAAACATAATTTTACTCTCCAAAAACGTGGAGTTCACATTTGCATCTCAAAATACAATCCATTGTCTCTCCCCGTGGAAAAAACATGGTCAACACAATTCACTGTTCACTCATGCTACCTCTCTGTTTTCATGTGAAAACATAGTCCGTTACAAAAACCAACAGCATGTCAGCTCCCATGGGTTTATTGTCTTATCCTTCCTTTCAGCTTTAGAGTGACTTAGGCAAAGTTTAATCCACTTTCACTGCTTAATGCTTACGTGTTTGATGACAAACAGCCTTGTGTTTATAAGTGACAGTTGTCCTGCTAAGTACCTGCATGTCATAAGCATTTGAATTAAAATTAACATATTGATATATAATCTGATGTTTTTTTTTTTTAATTTTTAGTTGGTGTGCGATGGAATAACAACAGCTTTATACTGCGAGTATAGCCCAAAGCCCTATATTTCAACAGCAAAAGTAGTGATCTGATGCTTAAATAGAAATGTCATTCTGCAGCTTCACTTGAATGAGACTAGATACGTTCAAGCAGGTTTTTCATAAGGTATGACGGCCCGCCACAGTTTTTCATAAGGTATGACGGCCCGCCACAGTTTTTCATAAGGTATTACGGCCCGCCACAGTTTTTCATAAGGTATTACGGCCCGCCACAGTTTTTCATAAGGTATTACGGCCCGCCACAGTTTTTCATAAGGTATTACGGCCCGCCACAGTTTTTCATAAGGTATGACGGCCCGCCTTACATTTTGAGTTGTGCAGGCTTGCGTTACAGGTTCACATAGATGATAAACTTTTGAACACAACACCACAACGCTGTGATTAAGATCAACTTTTGAACACAACACCACAACGCTGTGATTAAAATCAACTTTTGAACACAACACCACAACGCTGTGATTAAGATCAACTTTTGAACACAACACCACAACGCTGTGATTAAGATCAACTTTTGAACACAACACCACAACGCTGTGAATAAGATCAACTTTTGAACACAACACAACAACGCTGTGATTAAGATCAACTTTTCAACACAATACCACAACGCTGTGATTAAGATCAACTTTTGAACACAATATCACAACGCTGTGATTAAGATCAACTTTTAAACACAATATCACAACGCTGTGATTAAGATCAACTTTTGAACACAATACCACAACGCTGTGATTAAGATCAACAAACAATGGTTGATATGCAGTGAATCAAAGCCCACATGATTTTTTAATATCCTTTATATTGGAGTTTGTTGTATATCTTGTAACATGGAGTTTGTTATATATCCTGTAATTTGGAGGTTGTTGCATACCCTGTAACTTGGAGGTGGTTGTATATCCTGTAATTTGGAGGTGGTTGTATATCCTGTGACTCGGAGGTGGTTGTATATCCTGTAATTTGTAGGTTGTATATCTCCGCTCTAAATAAACTGGTGATGGAAATATTGCGAGTTGAATATATATCGGATATTAATATTTTCCAGATTTTGAGTTGAGTCAGTTCTTCTGAATAGAGCCAAGATTGGACAAACACAACAGTTAAACCAACCAAGATTGGACAAACACGCTCTTTGTGTGTGCCTTCATCGGACAAACATGACATTTGTGTGGGCCTACTTTGTACAAACATGACATTTGTTTGTTCCTACATCGGACAAACATGACATTTGTGTGTTCCTACATCGGACAAACATGACATTTGTTTGTTCCTACATCGGAAAAACATGACATTTGTGTGGGTCTACTTTGTACAAACATGACATTTGTGTGTTCCTACATCGGACAAACATGACATTTGTGTGTTCCTACATCGGACAAACATGACATTTATGTGTTCATACATCGGACAAACATGACATGTGTGTGTCCCTACATCGGACAAACATGACATGTGTGTGTTCCTACATCGGACAAGCATGAAATTTGTTTGTGCCTACAGTGTACAAACATGATATTTGTGTGTGCCTTCTTCGGACAAACACGACATTTGTGTGTGCCTACATTGAACAAACATGACAATTGTGTGGGCCTACATCTGACAAACATGACATTTGTGTGTGCCTGCTTCGGGAAAACATGACATTTGTGTGTGAAAACTATGAACACGTAGCAGACGTCCCTGCAGACATTCACATCGTGACCGCACTGTATTCAAGAATTGACCAACCACCAGAAACGTATTGACTTGTGGTTGTCATTTGCTTAGAGTTATGAGTTCAACACCTCCCCTCTCCCCCCCCCTCTCTTTTTAACAGTACCACAAATCACACCTAGGCACCAATCAGAACTACAAGTTGTGCGGTAAATTAAGAAAACAAAAATATGTCAGTTGTAATTGAAAAATTAAATGGGTTTAAACATCACCTGCCGCTTACGTAAGGGGGGAGGGGGACACGACTGGCTCTGGACAACGGACGATCAGTGTGATATTGCTCGCTCAACATGATCGTCACGCAGACGGCTCATCTGTACCGCATCCTGGTGCTTCTCTCCCTTGCTGGAGGTAAAGTAAAATCTAGAAACAGTTTGACTATCACACGAAACAAAGTGATTATCCATTCAGTTTCAATACAGTTAATAACCCCGCTATACATCCATTTTCATTATTCTTTCATTTGAGTTAAAGATATTTGAAAATATATCTGTCATAAATATAGCTTAAGTTAAAAAATGATGACGAGGACAAACGATGGCTGATATGCAATGGCCGTTCACTTGATGCTTTGATACTTTGGTGTTTTTAAACTGCTTCGCTTTTCTTCAAAATGTCTAACGTCTGCTTGGATGAAAATTAAAATAAAAGCATCGAGAATAATTTTTTTCAGTTGTTTATTCGTGTTTGCTAATCACAGAGGTATGGTCGCTCTTTAAAACAGCAACACCTAAAAAGTTATTCATTTGCTTTTTAAAAAAAATCTTGTTCCCATCATCTGAGTTGAAATTTCCCTTGCCTCCACTCCAAAATGCAGGCAAGAGAGCAATTGGTGCACACGTTGATAGGGCGTTGTGTCATTCCATTCATTTATTGCGTTACTTTTAAGCCATGACGACGAAATATAGTTGTTTAAGCCGACGTCAAGCAGTGTCTGGTGGCACCAAGTTCAGGTGACACGCTGCTCTAGTGAAACTCCTCTATGGTGACACGCTGGTCTAGTGACACCCTTCTATGGTGACACGCTATTCTCGTGACACGCTATTCTCGTGACACGCTACTATGGAGACACTCGGCACTTGTGTAACAGTTCCTGGCGACATGCTATTCTGGTGACATGCTATTATGATGACATGCTATTTAGGTGACAGGCTCTTCAGGTGATATGCCATTATGATGAATTGCTATTCTGGGGACATGCTATTATGATGAAATGCTAATATGATGAAATGCTATTATGATGACATGCTGTTCAGGTGACATGCTATTCTGGTGATATGCTTTTATGATGACATGCTATTATGATGACATGCTATTCAGGTGACATGCTATTATGATGAAATGCTATTCAGGTGACATGCTATTATGATGACATGCTATTCGGGTGACAAGCTTTTATGGTAACATGCTAATGGTGACATTCTATTATGATGACATGTTGTTCTAGTCACATGCTATTATATGGCATGCTATTCTGGTGACATGCTATTATGATGATATGTTATTCTGGTGGTATGCTTTTATGATGACATGCTATTCTGGTGACATGCTATTATGATGACATGCCATTCTGGTGACATGCTATTATGATGACATGTAATTCTGGTGACATGCTATTATGATGGCATGCTATTATGATGGCATGCTATTATGATGACATGCCATTCTGGTGACATACTATTATGATGACATGTAACTCTGGTGACATGCTATTATGATGGCACGCTATTATGATGACATGCTATTTTGGTGACATGCTATTATGATGACACACTATTTTTGTGATACGCCGTTCTGAAGGATCATGGCTCTGGTAACACTTTGTTCTGGTGATTCAATTTTCTTGTAATATACTGTTGTTGTTAAAAACTTTTCTGGTTGCACACTATCTTGTGGCACACTCTCTTGTGGCACATTATCTGTTGGCACACTATCTATTGGCACATTGTCTGGTGGCACTCTATCTTGTGGCATACTATCTGGTAGCACACTATCTGGTTTCACACTATCTGGTGGCCCACTATCTGGTGGCACACTATCTGGTGGCACACTATCTGGTGGCACACTATCTGGTGGCACACTATCTGGTGGCACACTATCTGGTGGCACACTATCTGGTGGCACACTATCTGGTGGCACACTATCTGGTGGCACACTATCTGGTGGCACCCCATCTGGTGGCACCCCATCTGGTGGCACCCCATCTGGTGGCACACCCTCTGGTGGCACACCCTCTGGTGGCACACCCTCTGGTGGCACCCCATCTGGTGGCATTCTGATGTTTTATTTCAGTGAGTTCTGGTATGAAACCCACTCAAATGAACTCTGTAAAAATGTGCATTTTCCTTTAGGGGTCACCCCCCCCCCCCTATTAGGATGTTACTGGATGCGGACCGCCCTTCCCCCCCCCCCCCCCCACACGACGCAAAGGCTTAGTACACAAAGAATTTCATTCTTACTCCATGTGTGTGTGTGTGTGTGTGTGTGTGTGCGTGTGTGTGATCTAGCTTCAACCTACTCTCTTATATATCTGTAGGCTACTCTACTGTACTTTAAGGTAACGTGTCAATAAATGTCTCGTTTGTTTTCGTGTTATGTCTTCAGGGGGTCTCGCGGAGACGCCTTTGGAACAGCTGCAGAGGTTCCGGAGAGAAATCCAAGGCATGGAGAAGAACATCAAGTCGATCTATGAAGTGACGACATCGAGGGAGAATTTCATCGTGACTTTCAAAGATTTCGAAATGAAGTGGGACCAGAGACTCAAGATGTTCAAGGAAGCGCTGTTCTATCAATCAACAGTTCACTACAACATTAGTTACCTCATCGATAAATTTGAACGCTTCAACCCCCAAGGCTCCAACGCGTTAACCAGGTGTGTCGCCGTCGACGCCTACCCCGCGGAGATCGAAAACAGAGACCAGCACAGTTTCATCAAGTCGTTCTTGGCCCAGCAAACCTACGGAGAAAGTGACTACGCGTACCTCGGTGGCTATCAATTCGAGGGAGATTGGTTCGGGCCAGTCAAAAGTTCCATGGTTGTAGCATTCTGGGCGCAATACTACCCCACGGAAGGCGAAGGAGAGGACTGCCTGGCCCTTGACAAGAGAGAGGACTGGGATTTAACGAACATGTTCTGCAACGATCAGAAAAGTCGATATCTGTGTGAAATGAACGATGATTCCCCGCTCCTATGACGTCATACAGAAATGAACAAAAAGTATTAAAAATTATTCATTAATAACACAGTTTGTTTGTACAACTCGTTTATATAATTTTTTTTAAAATATACTTTCATGTTATACAAATTATTAGTATTCTAATGTGACACTCGCTTACACACCGCATACTTATTTCACCAACTATTTCCAGGGAAAGAAAAACCAAGATATTTTGCAAAATAACGACTGTGGATATTTTTTAAGGGAATCTCAATTACCGAAGATATAAGGGTAGTTCTTGGTGAAACCAGTGTCATCACATGTGCTGCACCTTCCCCTTATCAAGGAGACAAACTCATTTTTGATGGGTTGGTGTTAGGAGGTGGCGCTGCACATTTGACAGAAAATGTTGTTATCAGCAACACGTCTATGTGCCTAGTTTTAGCTCGATAGGTTGACAGGATGTGGGTGAAGTAGCCGTGCAAAAATGTGTTCACCCAGCAAGAAAAAAACCCACAAAAAAAACAAAAAAAAAACAACACGAATTTAATTTAAATGATTTTTTTAAAAGCACCATGATAAGATTTGAATGACTCTTTGTGTGTGTTTTTGTTATCTTCTTTTGTTAACTTGTGCAGAAACAGCCTAAGACAAAGAAGAAAAGAAATTTCTCTTGTGTTAGCTTAAACTAGGGAGACAAGAAACTTGTCTTTTGTTAACTTGAGCAGAATCAGCCTTAGACAAGGGAGACAAGAAACTTCCCTTTTGTTAACTTGTGCAGAAACAGTCTTAGACCAGGGAGACAAGAAACTTGTCTTTTGTTAACTTGTGCAGAAACAGTCTTAGACCAGGGAGACAAGAAACTTGTCTTTTGTTAACTTGTGCAGAAACAGTCTTAGACCAGGGAGACAATGTGTTGATATTCGAGGCCCCTCGATCAATGTGTTGATATTCGAGGCCCCTCGATCAATGTGTTGATATTCGAGGCCCCTCGATCAATGTGTTGATATTCGAGGCCCCTCGATCAATGTGTTGATATTCGAGGCCCCTCGAACAATGTGCTGATATTCGAGGCCCCTCGATCAATGTGTGGATATTCGAGGCCCCTAGATCAATGTGTTGATATTCGAGGCCCCTCGATCAATGTGTTGATCATTCCGGCTCCGAATTACGCAGGGGGGATTTGCAATGTTTCCGTGGCTGGTAAGAGAATGATATTTAAAAGTTTGCAAGGGTAACTCATCGAGGGCATCAGGAATTGGGGGTTGGAAGGAATGAGGCAAGAGACGCATACGTGCAAGTGATGTTGCCTCAACTGGTTATTTGGGAAGCTTGTTGTTCCAGTCCCTGATTGTCTTTGGCAGGAATGAGCAGTTCCTGCACTGTGTTCTTGCTGTTACGAGTCGGAACTGCCTGTCATGGACTCGTCGCTTCGGTAGGGAGAGGGGAGGGACGAGATACTATTTAATACCGGAGCAGTGGACCAGCCCGTGTTCTATCTTGAACATCATGGAAAGGCTGGATAATCGGTTGCTGAGGGCGCCAGAGATCAATGTTTTGGTAGTGCCTTTATTTTTGTAGACTTTTGATGGTTCGTATCTATCAAGGCTTAGTTTTAAAACATCCTTAAAATGTAAAGAAGGAAGAAAAAAAGTCTTCTTCCTCCCTCAGTGAATAACTCAATGACAAACACGTATTATTAAATGTACCCGTCGTTAGTGATGAACTGAACGAGCTCATTCCATGTTCACAATATGAATATGTGACTACTAGGTATCGCCGTGGCCATATCTGTTCACAATATGAATACGTGACTACTAGGTATCGCCGTGGCCATATCTGTTCACAATATGAATATGTGACTACTAGGTATCGCCGTGGCCATATCTGTTCACAATATGAATATGTGACTACTAGGTATCGCCGTGGCCATATCACAACGTATTTATTATAAGATTTAAATTGAACGAGCGTTAAAATAATGTAGAATAACGCTGACTGTACTGCAACTTGTTGATGAGACCGGAGGATTAAAATGATTATTTACGTTAAGTCATTTTTTGGGGGGTTTTTGGGGTTAAATTTGATTATGAGAAGGTGGAGACGTGTATATATAATATGAGTGCATATTATTAACGGTAGTATTATTAACATAGCAAAATATTCTAAATCTTCACAATACTTACGGACACATCAAGTACAGAACTGGACCAAACGCGGCCCAGTCAGTCATGTTACATATAACATCCCAATCAGTCATCTTACATAACGCATCCCCAACAGTCATCTTACACATAACATCCCAATCAGTCATTTTAATATGGCATCCCAATCAGTACTGTTTCATATAGCATCCCAATCAGTCATTTTTCATATAGCATCCTAATCAGTCATGTTTCATATAACATCCCAATCAGTCATGTTTCATATAGCATCCCAATCAGTCATGTTTCATATAGCATCCCAATCAGTCATGTTTCATCTAGCATCCCAATCAGTCATGTTTCATATAGCATCCCAATCAGTCATTTTTCATATAGCATCCCAATCAGTCATTTTTCATATAGTATCCCAATCAGTCATGTTTCATATAGCATCCCAGTCAGTCATGTTTCATATAGCATCCCAATCAGTCATGTTTCATATAGGATCCCAATCAGTGATGTTTCATATTGTATCCCAAACATTCATGTTTCATATAGCATCTCAATCACTCATGTATTTATAAAAGTAAATGAAGTCATGTATCGCACACAAGCTCCATCTTTCAGAGCCAAAGGACTACAAGGCGTTACTGTGTGCTATTTAATTGAATAGATCTCTCGGCACGTAGACGAAGCCTTACATGGGCATGGTAACATGTGGGCGGTATATCACCGGAATGTCTCTAGCCCCTCTCCTTGACCAGTGCCAACAGGAGCGCTATGAACGTGACCATAATGACGAGATACACAGCTATGCCCAGTAACAGCGCGTATATGGACAGTGTCCGGGCAACGAGAGCCACGCAGGTCGCTTGATGGGACGGTATCTGATGGAGAAGAGAACATTGAAAGATCATGAAGAGCTGTAGTCGTCGTTCTTAGCCGGTGCTGTTGGGTGGTTTCACTTGGCCTAGAACTACGACGTTAGGTGTTACAAAGGAACACAGATGTCATTTTGACACATGTCAGGAGTGCACCTTTTAACGCTGCGTATAACGGAGTCAGAAATGAATTTGTTAGCATGGCACTGAGTCAGGAGGGTAGCATTTAGCATGGCACTGAGTCAGGAGGGTAGCATTTAGCATGGCACTGAGTCAGGAGGGTAGCATTTAGCATGGCACTGAGTCAGGAGGGTAGCATTTAGCATGGCACTGAGTCGGGAGGGTAGCATTTAGCATGGCACTGAGTCAGGAGGGTAGCATTTAGCACTTTACTGAGTCAGGAGGGTAGCATTTAGCATGGCACTGAGTCAGGAGGGTAGCATTTAGCATGGCACTGAGTCAGGAGGGTAGCATTTAGCACTGTACTGAGTCAGAAGTGCAACAACTAGCAATGAACTAAGTCAAAAGTGCAATAATTAGCATTGCACTAAGTCGGAAGGGCAACATTTAGTCGGAAGTGAAACATTTTGTCTTGCAGTGAGTCAGCAGTGCAACATTTAGCACTGCACTGAGTCAGAAGCGCAACATTGAGCATTGCACTGAGTGAGAAGTGCAACATTTAGCATTGCACTGAGTCAGAAGTGCATCATTACGATTGCACTGAGTCAGAAGTGCAACATTAAGCGTCACAGTGGGCTGGGCCAGAAGTACTTAATATAGCAACTTCACTCTATACCGATTTTAACTTGGTTTAATTTCGTTAAATGACAAGCCTCGTGTTAATTATGTCACAATTCACATAAGTTAAGAGACAACTACAGCCCTGTTACATTTAGCACTTGTTGCATGACCATATCCCTAGTAGCTAACACTTGTATCATGACCATATCCCTAGTAGCTAACATTAGTATCATGACCATATCCCTAGTAGCTAACACTTGTATCATGACCATATCCCTAGTAGCTAACATTAGTATCATGACCATATCCCTAGTAGCTAACACTTGTATCATGACCATATCCCTAGTAGCTAACATTAGTATCATGACCATATCCCTAGTAGCTAACATTAGTATCATGACCATGTCCCTAGTAGCTAACATTAGTATCATGACCATATCCCTAGTAGCTAACATTAGTATGATGACCATATCCCTAGTAACTAACATTAGTATGATGACAATATCCCTAGTAGCTAACATTAGTATGATGACCATATCCCTAGTAGCTAGCACTTGTATCTTGACCATATCCCTAGCAGCTAACACTTGTATCATGACCATATCCGTAGTATCTAGCACTTGTATCATGACCATATCCCTAGTAGCTCACTTGTGTCATGACCATATCCCTAGTAGCTAACACTTGTATCATGACCATATCCCTAGTAGCTAACACTTGTATCATGACCATATCCCTAGTAGCTAACACTTGTATCATGACCATATCCCTAGTAACTAACACTTGTATCATGACCATATCCCTAGTAGCTAACACTTGTATCATGACCATGTCCCTAGTAGCTAACACTTGTATCATGACCATATCCCTAGTAGCTAACACTTGTATCATGACCATATCCCTAGTAGCTAACACTTGTATCATGACCATATCCCTAGTAGCTAACACTTGTATCATGACCATATCTCTAGTAGCTAACACTTGTATCATGACCATATCCCTAGTAGCTAACACTTGTATCATGACCATATCCCTAGTAGCTAACACTTGTATCATGACCATATCCCTAGTAGCTAACACTTGTATCATGACAATATCCCTAGTAGCTAACACTTGTATCATGACAATATCCCTAGTAACTAACACTTGTATCATGACCATATCCCTAGTAGCTAACACTTGTATCATGACCATATCCCTACTAGCTAACTCTTGTATCATGACCATATCCCTAGTAACTACCACTTGTATCATGAATTTATCCCTAGTCACTAACATGTTTATCATGCACAAACCAGTATCATGATAATCCTGG